ATTCATAGCTTTGTTCATCAGTTATAACAAATAAATCAATTAAATTACAATGTAGTTATTAGAATAATTTAAAGCATATATATATATATATATATATATACACGATTATATATACATATATATATGCACATACATATAATCATAAACTGATACTATTATTTATCAAAGTAAGATGATATTCATTATTTTCTTTCTATGCTTTAATATTATTACAAAGTTGTTGATGTAACAGCACTAACGCCATGTACTAAAACTACCGGTGGTAAATCCACAGTCAATTCTGTTAATAATTGAAGATATTGTCGATACATAATATTTTCATTCCATGTATTTGATACAGGTGGTGCTGGTAAATATATAAAAGAAGTTGCAGTTTGACTGGAATGTTGTTTGATTAACTGATTAACTCTGTAATTTATAAATAAGTATTGAAAAATCTTAAATATCATATCAAAGGAAATAATGTGTCAAATATAATTACCTGATTATATAAGTCCTCGAGACATTACTTAAAGTATTATCCACGTTTTCACTACCTGATTCATATTGAGTATCCAATTTTGGTTCAATAAGAGATCTGCCTTTGAGATCGCTTACTTGCATTCCCCAGTTAGGTATTTTCTTAATCGATGCAGAAATTCTCAAAACATTTAATAATTTTTTAATCTTATGTTCATTTGAAACCTTGGGAAATTCACTGATAGAACTTTGAGATTCTGAAATGCTTAAACTTGTACTACTGTCTGCAATTTCGCAATGGAATACACGAAGATGTAAATTTTTCCAAACAGGAACCATATTTATAATGCATGCGAGTTGAAGCATAAATAATGAAGTTGTATCGAATGGATCTTGATCGGATGGTTGGAAGAAATTCACTGGCCATACATCAATGTATTTAAGATTTGAATTTCTGCAAAATTATATGATATTATATCATGTGTATAATACGTATAATAATAATTTGATATATTTATTTATAATAATAGCTTACTTCGAAATTTGTGATTTATCAAGCAAGTGGAAATTTCTGCCCAAACATAAGTTCTTTTTCATTCTTAAGACATCCGAACACATTCCAACATATTGTACCGGATCCAAATTTTTTTCTGTACCTGCTTGCCTCAGTGGAAAAATAACATTATTAGAAACTCCAATGCTTTCACTAGTATTATCAAATACTGCCGTCGAATATTGAGAATCGGTGAAGAAATTTCTTGGTGTTTCTTCATCGTAAAAGCCAAGAATAATCGTATTTGGTTTCATTGCACCCATTCCAGATATTCTTATTAAATGATGTAATCCTTCGCGAATTGTTTTTGTAATCGTCAGCTCTACAAATGCTTTCACTTTCATATGATCGACTAAACTCAACCAGTGAGGATATTCTTCTATCGTCGGATCAATATTCTGTCCAGTAAATTCACCTATCTTTACATGTCCTATAACATATAATCCTCCTTTTTTCAGATCATTTACAAAATCTATAAGAGGACATGCAGATCTTGGCGAGGCAACCATCAGAAGCATTTGTGGTCTCCAAAATTTAACATGGTCTTTGCGGGAGTCTAACATTAATAAATATTTTCTCACTTGATGAAATATTAATGCTTGCGATATACTACCCCATGGTGCATTTTTACTCGGAGAAAATAAATGCAGTACTATTATTAAAATTAAACATAATATTATACTGCTCGATGCATATATACTATTTATTACAAACATCATAATTAATGTTCCAAGAAGACCTATGGTTGCAGTGTGCCATGTAAAATAATTAAATGTTGGTCTGCAATTAAATTGTATATCATTATTTTTACATAGATATGTATAAATGTATTGGATAAGAATGAGTATTGGATAAGAAGAAGAAAAGATTACCTGAAATTTGGTGCACTTGCAAGTTCAAGTCCAAGGCAGGCTAAATTTGTTGCCAAATAGCTCAAAAGGAATAATACTGAATTGATTTGAGCTATTGTATTTAAGGAACCGACAAGTAAAATTATTTGAACAAGAGTCCACGATGTAAATACTGCAGCTATTGGATTTCCATGCCATGTACCTTGTATGATAAAATTTAATCCTGAACCTAAACAACAAATAGAAGCAAGAATAATGTCTAAGTTTTTTAATCTCTTTATAAAGTATATATCTTGATCATTTACCAAAAACATTATCTTTTGCTAATGCTTCTAATACTCTACTTGAGCCAATTAAGTTACTCAAACCAGCACTGAATGTTGCCGTCAATATACCAACAGCTACAAATGGCGGCCAAATATTTATTGGCATCATATATATAAAATTATTTTGTAGTAAAAAACGACTTGTAGTTGCAGCTGTTAAAATAGATAATAATATATAACATAGGAAAGTAAATAATACTGCTGATAATGTTCCACGTGGAATATTTGTGCCCGGATTTTTGAGTTCACCTGCAAATAAATATTGAAATAATATTATCAAATATATGTAGATAAAAAGTAATTATAATGTAAGAAACTTCGACAATATTTACCACTCATATTTGCTCCTGCCATAATGCCTGTTACACCGCTGAAGAGTACACCAAATACGCTAGCAAAATCAGTCATCGTACCAGTACTTGTATAATCAGCGCTATAATTTGAATATAAATTATTTGCAAGAGTGGAAGACAGAAGTCCTGTGTATGATCCATTGATGTGTTCAGTAGCATTTTGTACTAATGTGTTTACATCTGGAATTGGTATCTGAAAATGTTTTATTATTTTTATTTTCCATATTATTCGAGTACAAAAATATACAATTATCATTAATGGTATAGTTATAATTATATTAGTAATCCTACCTCCATAGGTCCTCCTACTAAAAAACTTACAAACACACTCCCAAGACAAATGCATACAACTGCTAGAATGGCAACACTAGTTTTTGCAAACATAGCAGCTCCAATTAGACAGACTAAAAGATTAGCTGTATTTAACAATGAACAATAGAGAAATTGCCACCATCGACCATTCGGTATTAGTGCATTTTTTCCAACTAAATATCCGGAAGGGCCAAAATTTTCTATCAAACCTTCAGCACAACCAGAAACGCAAAGTGCACTCGATACAATATTTGCCATGAAAAATAATGTACCAATGGAACCGCCAAATTCAGGTCCTAATGTACGACTGATCATAACTATATAACGTATAAGATCATTTAGAAAAATATATGTTTATCTAAAAATATGGGCAATTAAAGAACTTTTCTATCATATAATATGCAAGGATACAATAAGCACCACCTCCTTCAACCGCTCCATTTGTCGATATAGCACAAACAGATGCAACGGTAAATAGTAGAATTCCATAGGCAATTACAAACTGTACAAGAGTTACAAATAATCCTGCATTTCCAACAATGTAACCTGCAATAGATATTACATTACAACGATGGACAAAATTCAATTTCTAATATGCGAAATCTAAACTAATAATATGAATATATTAGTTTAACATTTAAATAGAAAATATTAATATCTTAATCTTACCCATGCGTAAGAAAACTAAGGCACTGAACATGGATAGGGTGACAGGACTGAATACACCAGCAAAAGTACCTAGTGTACGTGTACTATCAACACCAAGACTACCAAATTCCACATATCCATCTCCATCAGTACGTGTTGTTTTACCAATTTTAAATATGTTGCTGAGTCTTCGAAATACATTTCTTCCATTAATCAATGGTGCTTTTTCAGTAGCAATTCTTATGTGTACAGATTCAGCATTTGTAGAACCAATCTCTGGTGCAATCATATTGCAAGTTTTCTTCAAAATTAATGCATATGTATTATTATACGTAGAAAGTATACAGAAATTTAAATTGCACTAAGAAAAAATAGTAAATAAATGCACATATTATTTTACCAAATAATAAACATAATGTTGATGAAATTCAATTCGCAAAAAAATTTCGAAAATGATAAAAAAGGCTTAATTACTTTGTTTGGATATATAAACGTAAACAACTTACTTTAATTCTTAGTTCCTTGCATAATAAAGTAGAAAATTATAGATAATCACGATACAATTAGTCATTAAGTTATGATGTCATGCATTAAAACGTAATGTCAAATAAATAGATGTTTGAGGTTAAAATACTCATTTAAAAAAAATAATGGGTATCGTTTTTCCTTTTAAACATACACTATGAACAACATAGATGAGATACGCAATAGACATTTTTATTCCTACTTTTTTATTCTATGGAATATTTGATCCATATCTAGTTTCTTTCTTTACCATCTTTGGATAATGTTCTACGTTATTACTGTCGGTAATTCTGATGGTAAGTTACCATCAGATCTCAGTCGGTAAGATAAAGGTAGAGCACTACTATTATCAATACGATGCTTAGAAATGTTACTAGATTTCAATATATTTTAAACTTTCTTAATTGCTAGTAACTTTTAATAACAAGTAGTGTACACAAAGTGAATGTGTAATTAAATTCTATATACATTTAAAAACAAACAACAATTAGAAATCTAATATAGATATTTTGTTTAAACTATTAATAAAAGTTTACTCGTTAAGAACGATTGTCTTGGAACAGGTACAGAAAAAAGACTTATTAAATTAAAAAAAAAACCGATATCATATTGGAGCTAGAAAGACAGGAGAAAAACAGACAAACAAAAATCAGCAATTGATTGAAAACAAAAAACAATAGAAAACTTCATTGCTTTGCTTAGAAATGAGAAAAAACGTTATTGCATGTTTTATTATTTATAAATAATTAATAAAAATAAAGTGTGCAATTAAGAGTACATATTCATTTTTTTCTGCTGTTCAGGTCCATGCCAACTTTTCTGCGATAAGTTGAGGGAAAACCGAATATTATATCACTGATAATATGAATAAAATACAAAAACCGTAAAAAATATAATAATATAATAGATTTTTTAAAGATATTAATTAAACGAAATGATAACAAATGGTTGAATTAATATTTATTGTAATAGATAAGATTGAAAACAATAATTTATTTTCGCTATTGATCTATCTTATTGTATTTTTTAAGTTTATTGGACAGGTTATTGCATTTTCTTAAAAGTTAATAATTGAAAGAGTTTTTTTAAATATTTTTCTAATAATATTATATGCCTATATACAGATTATGTTATCGTTATGACATAATCTTTCTCTACTATAGAATTTTCGATTTTAGCAGAGAAACATGAGATGTATTTTATATTACAGCTGATTTGTGTGTGTGTTGTGTAGATTAGTAATAGTATTTTATGTTAATACAATTAGTATTTGTATGTAAATTAGAATGAAAGCAACAACAACATAATCATTTTAATAAAGCATTGATAATAACAATCAATTAGTGTTACAATCGTTAACACTAGCATTTTTAAACTTAACGTGATAATTACATATTCCCAAATCTAACGTAAAATTTATGTAAGTCTTGTATTACAAGTAACATAACATTAATATTAAACGTAACGACTTAGATGAGAAGAGTTTTCTCAGAAGATACTCACACAGTTTATATATGATTATCTTAATAATAACAAGATATTTAAAGTTATGCAAACGTTACAATCTTTTAGCAACAGTATATTTTTTGTAAACAGATTGTCTCAAATACATGAGAAATATTATCGAAAAAAAGGAATGTTACCTATTCGTTATAAGGTTTAGCAAAATAATAATAATGAACACGTATTCGCAATAAAAAAAAAAAAAAAGGAGAAACGAGATATAACAAAACTTTGTCTTGCTATAATCATTCGTTTTTAACAAATTATATCCTTTAATTTAAAGAATCACGTTTCTACTTTTTCAGATTCTATCTGTTTATTGACTTCCGTTTTCAAAACTGTTTTTTTTTGCGCTGATTCTTCTTTAGCCATCTTGTCTTGTTCAAATTGTCCATCCACGTTAACTTCTTCGTCGTCGTCTTCTTCTTCTTCTTCTTCTTCATCTCCTTCTTCTTCTTCTTCCGCTGCTTCTTCTTCCTCCTCTTCCTCAGTTTCTTGTAATAATTCTTCTTTTATCGTAATATTTTCATCGAATTTACGATCCTCATTATTAATTGGATTTTTCGTTTCTCCTATCATCTCTTTCACTGTTTCAGATATTGTAGAATTTTCTTCGATACGATGGAACGTTATTATGTGATGATCTAATTCAGCTTTGAAAAAGAACTTTGAGGTACATTTAGAACAATCGTAAGGCCGTGCATTCAAACCATGTTCTTGCAACATATGATTCTGTAAATAAAAAATAGTTAAATAATACTCTTATTATATATATATAAAGTCATCTCGAGCAAAATACACCAAGTAGTTTTTTTTAGTTTATAATAATTGTTAGGTGTAATGATTAAAAAGTTTTATTACTATACGTATATACCTGCAGAGCAATAGGCACGGTGAAAAGAGCTTGGCAGATATAACAATTGAGAGCAGCACATCCAGCAAACGTATGCTCTATCAAATGGCTCTGCAATTGGAGAGGACTATTTGCTTCGAACAGACATAAATGACATCTCAAAGTATCAACAGTTCCTTTTCCTGATACTTCTAAATGTTCTTTAGTTACGTGTTGCTGTATCATAGTTTCACTTGGAAATGACATCTAAAAATATAATACGAAAGTAGTATAATTTCAATAATTCTAATAGAAATTTATTCTGTTCATCAATGTAATTACCTGGCATTGTATGCACGTGTACGTATTGGATTCATTATCGTATGTTTTATTATGTAAAGTAATTTTGTGCTTTTTTGCTTCTTCAGGATTTTCAAATTTCACCCCGCACTCTTCACACCTTTTAGTATCGCCATTCGGATCATTAATCGAACGATTTTCAGTTTTAAAACTACGATCAGAATCCCATCTATCTTTGGAACCATTCCATTGTAGATCTTTATTAGGGATCCAAGAACGTTCGCACTTAGCATTACGAACATGTTCATAAGGTGAACTCAGAATTGGTAGACCTTGGGAATACCTCACATAGCAAGATTTACAGACTTTAAGAGATTGTCCTCCACTGATGTGATTGGGAGGAAGGGTGACAAAATCTTCGGTAGAGAATTCTCGTAGGCAAAGGCAACAACTTGGATTGAGTAGTTTTTGTTTAGGACTTGGACTGGAACTCGTATTTGGCGAACTAGTGAATGTTCTAAGATGATGACGAGCATGAAGACGACATTCCAAATCGCTGATAAGAGTTTGTCTACAAACAACGCATGGTGCTGGAAGATGAGGCAAAGAATTGTCCAGCCTTTGTTGAGGATCTACATTTTCTAAGCTGTGTCTTTGTACATGTTCAAGGAATAATGCTTCGTTTGATAAATTTCCACGACAAACGACACAAGTATCGCTTAATTGAATCTTACAATGTTTCTGAAGCTTGTGCTCAGCTAAAATAGCGCCCGAGGGACAGACTTCGTCACATATATTACACTTGTGTCGACCACCAGGCTCGGTCGAAGTATGTTGCATTCTCATATGAGATTCCAGCTCGTTTCTTGATCGACAGACTTCCCCGCAATAAGCACAAGTCATGCTCAGACTTGATAAAGAACTTTTGCTTGGAACTTTTGAAGATGCGTGAGCTAACTTTTTGTGAGCTTGCAGTTCAGCTTCGTTTGCGAATTCACCACGCTCGCATAGCTCACATTGTTGTCCTCCCGATGCACCGAAGTTTGGCCTTTTGTTGTTATTGTCACGTTGATTCAAAGAGTTGTTGTTACTCGACGCTGGCGAACGTCCTCTCTTCTGCGATTTGACCTGCAATAGATAATAAATGAGATGCATATATGTGATAAATAAAAAAAAAGATATCTTTTATTTAACAAAAGTCCACTCACTTCTTCTTGAGATCTAGCCTGACGATGAAGCCGTCCATTTTCTCGTGAATTATTTCGAACATTTAATTGATGTTCGCCAGTATGATGTACTTGAGTAATATGTCTATCCAATAAGAATTCAACAGCAAAGCCTTCTCTGCAAATAGGACATCTATAAAGACTAGTCGAATGGCTTGCCAAATGAAGCTGTAATTCGAGTTCGGAGCTACAGTAGATTCCGCAAAAGACACATCTCGGTCCAGAATTGACTGTCATTCCTGGCGTAGAAGCTGGACTTGTGACAACTGGACTATTGTTCATCACGGCTGGTGGCGCATGAACGTTTCTAACATGATTAGCCATCTCGCTTTCGCTTCTGAAGAAACTTCGACCTTCAGCGGGTACACTTCCAGGTGAATTTTCATTATTTGGTATTGTACAAGCATTACATCTGTATATTCTACATTCTTGACTATGCTTAACAGCAAAATGTACTTGAATCGCTACCCTAGAATCAAAGGTATCTCTGCAAAGTGCACACCTGTAAAGATGATTAGCATGACTATCTAAAAGATGCCTTTGAAGTAAATCTGGATGCGGATAGAGCTTCTTGCAAGCAGAGCAAGCGTATTCCTTACTAATTTGGCCCAAATAATGCTTCGTTAAATGTGCTAACATATCTTCTCTATCTTGAAAACTCGTATCACATTTTGGACAGAGGTATCTCGCTATTTCGTTTCGTTGATCAGCTTGCAAGTGTCTAGCAACGTGTTCTCGGAAAGATTCAAAATCCTTCAAAGCTGCACCACATTGACCACAAAGAAGTGTACTAGAAGTGTAATTGCTCTCAGAGGATTTAAGGTGTTTGCTAGTAAGATCTGCTGGTTCTATCGAAGGTTGTTCTCTATTCTTTTGTAATATCATACTTTTCGTATCGTAAACTCCATTCAATTTTGGATCCATATATTCTTGAGGATTTTGTGGAGCTATTCGACGATTCTCACAATGTTGAAGAACGTAATGTTCAGCATAAGCTGCTGCAGAGCTACATGGTATACCACAAAGAGGACACATTATCAATGACGTACCAAAAGCATCGGTTCTATGTATAGAAATCAAATGATCTCTTAACGTAGCTAAACTCGAAAATTTCATGGTACATTGGCAACAAGTAAAAGTATTTTTATAATCCTTTTCCAACGATCTTTCGTCATACTTTTTCTCTTGATCCTTGGAATTATTATCGGTTCGATCCAATGTTTTATCACGGGAACAATCGACAGCCGAATCAGTCGTCCTATTTGGGGACGGTGCTACCACAAGATTTTCTCCGCTCAGAATCGCTTGGTGCATCGTGTGAACATGCATTTGTAATTGTTGCATACAACTAAAGGAATCTCTTGTGCAATACATACAAGCCAATTTCAATGGGGAACTTAATATCGGCGTTGTCGAGGCGCTACAAGAAGTTCCTAGTGGTGTCTTCAAGGTATTTTTCGGATTTAAACTTAAGTTTAAGGAAGGCGAGGGCGAACTCGGTACCGGCGGAGAAGAAGTACTGTGAGAAGAAACGCTTCTTCTGCCATAATCCGAATCTTGAAGCTTGTTGCTATTGTGACTCGTTCCTTGGTGATGTTTTTTATGCGATTGCATGTGAGAAGTCAATGCGGCTGCTGTATTGTATCCTCTTGAACACGCTGTACACTGGTATGGCTTTTGTGTGTCGTGAGTTTTCATGTGGATTTTTAAATGATCGCTGCGACAAAATTAATCAAATCGAATTAAATTTGTATTTTAAAGAAGAAAAAAAAACATTAACATAAAACAAACAAATATATTACAATTTATATAACAGTTTATTTTTATATAATACGAGATCGATCGGAAGGAATATTAAAATCTAGGTCAACATTTTCTCATGAGAAGATTTTCGTTAATTGGAGAAAATAATTTTTATCATTTAAAATCTTTTCTATCAATTTACTGTCACTCTCTCTCTCTCTCTCTCTCTCTCTCTCTCTCTCGAAGTATCGTATAATTGTCGTTATTATATCCGTTACTATAGAGAAAGGAATATTATTCAGGAAATCGAATTTCCTGTTAAACGTACCAAGTCACTAGGATCGAATTAATCGACGTCAAGACTTATCAACGAGTGTATCCTGTGCTCGATCCAAAATATCCTTGAAATAGTAAATCAACGATATACTATGGAAATTCTATTTTAAAGTGTCCACCTACGAGCAAATATTAATCTTCTACTTTGTTTTCCTTTTTCATTCTGCAGTCTCTCTATCTATCTATCTATCTCTCTCTCTCTTTCTCTCAAAAGAATTAACCCCAAATGAAAAAAAAGTCTTTTGGAAAAAGAGAAGGAATATTAGCTTTCCGTTAATTGATAGACATTGGGACGAGCTTAAAAAATATATTTTGACTAGCTAATAAAACTAGCGAATCTTGACATATGAAAGTATCAAGATACAGTTAGGGATATGTATGCGTACCTATATCATATTTTCACAAGTTTTTTCGTAGCTGCTAAAAGAGGTGACAGGTCAGCAATTTTCGAGAGAATAAACCACCACCGGTATGAATAATTTATCATCCTGGAGAAGAGCTGGAAAACTAAATCCGTATAAGATGAGGTCACCCGTTGGTCCAACCGGTCAGTGTTTCGATTCTCTTCGGAACGAAGACAGACGGCAAATTTACTCTTGCACTTTACGTCTGAATAATTCATCTACTTGGATTATCGCTGAAGCTACTCATTGCTGTCCTATTATCGAATGTATCATTTCCCATTCTGGGAGAAGACGAAAAGTAAAAAATTTGAAAGGAAAGGAATAGACGACATGAGGTGATTTTCTTTCTCTCGCGCACGTTCCAAATATAATTATTAGATTTAAAAATGTTTGTATTTTAAGGTAATATAATGCAACGTCGGAAAAAGATGTTCCATTTGTAATCTATAGATCTGTACATCTGTATTTATGTTTTTGATCTATACGCCATCAGAATGATCTGTAGATTATCATTTTTGTTCTCTCTACTCACATAAAAGAGTACTTGAACAAAAACTGAAGAACGGTACCCTCGATCACAGGGTTAAAATCGTGATCATTACTTTACAACACCGAGGCCTGAGAACTACGCAGTAGTTAAAAAAACCTCCCTTTGGTATAGCCGCATTCTTAACTGACAAAAAGGTCATACCCGATTCGAGACAGTTTCTTGAGAATGCCTCGAGCTTACGTAAAAAGTATCAAAGTTTATCGATAAGAAAATTGAATGGTAAGATTCTCCTGATATTTTTGTATGAAATAATTTAAAGAACGTTGTGTAAGATAGATCGATACGATCTTCAAAGTGGGAAAAGGGGAGGAGGAGGAAATATCGTTCGTATTTTAAGATCCCCCATGGAGTTAGTTTCACGTGAGAACCACGGGGATTTTCACCCTTTTGTTGGCTCACCCAAGCTGTCCGCTAGAGGTGGGAGGACGACGAATAGAGACGTGGTCTAAAGATCTTGCGACTCCGATCGTAATAACAACTGACAGCTTATAGCAAGTCGTTGTTACAACCCTTTTAAAATAAATCGATCCAAACGAATGTTTAATTTTACCAAACGATTTTCAACCCGATTACACATTTACGTGTGTCATCTTATTCATTAACTCTACATTATAAATTTAACGATTTGTCGAAACTTTATAAATAAATTGGAGATATTTGAAGCGGATTATATTTAAGAAACGTTCAACTTATCTTAATACAAACAAACCTTAAATGCAAACGATTGAGAAAACGAGGTTAAACGATTGAAACTATTCCTTATACAAATGTTTTCAACTAAATGAAAATTATTGGGGAAAAAGAAGAAAGAGTCTCGAGAGCGACTTAAGAGTCGTTGTAAAAGAGGACGGCCAGCAACGAGGCACTTGACTAATGTTCTACCTGTTGTCCTGCAACACCTATGCGCCTACCTGTCCTCTCTCTTGTGAAGAGAGAGAGAGAGAGAGAAAGATTGGATCGTCTCGCGTGTCTCGTCGCACGCACTAGTACTTGTAAGCATACAGAAGAAGAAGAAGAAGAAGAGACATAAGGTTTCTTCTCTCTTTATCTTTCTTATTCGTATGCTCGGTCAGCTTAGCATTTCAATACGAGAGAGAAGACGACTCAATGCTGCATTCGAGCTGAGAATAAGGCTGCATGTGTAGAAAGAAAGAAAGAAAGAAAGAAAGAGAGAGAGAGAGAGAGAGAGACAGAAATAGAAAAGAGAAAGAGTATGTAAGAGAGTAAGCTTGACTAATACCACCCGTCCTACCTCCCTCCAACCTAACTCCTACGATCATTATTCATTTGTCGCCCGTTGGATCGGTCCCCCTGCTATCACTTGGGGCAAACTCGGGCCAAGCATCTACATTTCTTCTAACTTAACCGTTAAACTTTTACCTTCCAGTTTTTCAAGATAATTAACATATGATTATATACAACAGAATCAATCGTGCGCTTCTCTGTTCTTATTTTTTTTTTCTTTTTTTTTGGGGGGGTATAATAGGAATTCTAAACGAAACGAAACAAACAATCTAGCGAGGAGGAGGAGGAGGAGGAGGAGGAGGAGCGGCCAATGTCAAATGATAAAATTGCAATGATACGAGAAAAGAAAAAAAATTGCAAGGATTTGCATAGATTTCATTGGTTCGTTATTACATACCTCCTAGAAAAGGCTGCCTCACAATGAGAACACCGATATCTTCTATCCCCTGTGTGCAGCTTCACATGACGATCTCTGCTCCGCTTATGCTTGAACAATCTCTCACACCAACTGCATCTGTACGGCATTTGGTCACCGTGGCTCTGCAATTAGAAAAGTCATAGGGAACTGTAACGACCACGGAGTCGTCTCGTTTATATCTCATTACACTTAAAACCCGTATTATTGTCTTTCCTCTTTTGCAAGCCCTCCCCCCAGCCCCCAGCCCCCTTGAAATAACACCAATAATATTAGTTAAAATGATTCTTCCTTATCTTGCATACCGATTTTCAATCGTTTTCTATTATTCAACGAAATTGGATTAGTTTCATCTTTGAGGAGGAGGAGGAGGAGGAGGAGGAGAGAATCCGTTATAGACAAATTATTTCTTCTCTCTTTCTTTCTTACTTACTTTTTTCTGTTTGTTTTTTAAATCGAGAAAGATCTATGGATCTCTATGAAAGGGAATATAAAGAAAATCTTCCCTTTTTTCTTTTTTTCTTTTTTATTTTCTACTTCAATAGTATTCACGATGTAACTCGGTAAAAATCTTATCGACAAAAGCCTTTATGCTATAGAAATAATAATAATAAAAAAAAATAAAGCAAAAAAAAAAAAGCATATTGTTAAGATCTGTATAAAATCGATTTTGCCAATGGATCGCTTTTTTTTTCTATCCTCGATCCGGAAAGAGATCTTTTTTCCTTGGGCGTAAAATCAGCTTGGTTCGTCCTCGCCATCGAAGGAGGTCTTTCTCTCTCTCTCTCTTTCTCTCTCTCTTTCTCTCTCTCTTTCTCTCTCTCTCTCTCTCTCTACTTGCTATCGTTTCACCCTTCGTCGAGAGATTGTCTCTTCAAAGGAGCCGACGACGATCTCATGCTCGAAAGTCGAGCGGTTGTCCTCTACGTGCTGAGCTTACCTTCTGCCTTCTTCTTCAACAGACCAGTCAGGAAGAAAGAAAGAAAGAGAAAGAGAGAGAGAGAGAGAGAGACAGACAGACACTTGATGATCTCTGTCTCTTTTTTGTCCAAGGGAGAAAGCAACAACGAAAAGGAGAAAAGTAAACCCGTGTGGGATCATATCGGTCATACCGATCTGCTTGGGTGACACGACTTTGGACCAGCGCACGTTCTTTTTCTTTTTTTTTGTTTTTTCTTTTTCTTTTTATAAACTTTATAAATGTTCCTTTTTTTTTGTCGTTATTCGGAAGGATCCCGGAGACCCGATTGGACGTACGTTAGGCTTGATGTAATCGACTTTTCAGAAAATCTTCCGTACTTTCTCGTCAGTGTTCATTTCATGCGTCATATATGTTGTATTATTTTTTGTAAAGACTCTAAAATAAGAGAGAGAGAGAGAAGAAAAATACCACACCTGGACGACGAGGAACCAGGAGGAAGAAGAAGAACTTGACCGGTACAACCTGTTATGAGACACGATACAGATTTTGACCCAAAGATGACCTTCTACTCGGACGCGGAAGAACGAACTAATGTCTTCGCGATGCAAAATAGAAGAGTTTAACAAAGCGGACGACACGTGTCCCCTCTGTCCATTTTCCTTTTTTTTTTTTTTTTTACCCGACGCTAATATAAATGACTGCTTTATTAATTGTTCAATTTGATTGAATAACTTTTGCGTTTAACTTACTTGTTCATGTTTCTTGAGATAACTCAATCGTGGAAAAGTCCTATCACAGAATTGGCAAGGATAAGGTGCAGTTGGATTGTTACCGTCGGTACCAATTCCAACTTCCCCATCGATTTCTGGCTCCGACGGAAAACTGGCAGAAGTTGGCGTAGCGCAAGAGGATGGCGTTTCTCTTCCTCTTCGAGAACTTGGTCCGCCATCTTCGCTGTGCCAAGAGGAACTTCCGGTACCCAAAGCCTCTGTAAAAATCGACAAAGCATGATGATTTTCATTAAAATGCGATTAGAAATTTTTGTTCATAGATTTTTCATTTGTTCGAACGTATCTTACAAACAACAACAAATTTCGCGATAACTTTTAACAACCGATCCCTATATTCTCTTTTTTTTGTTTTTTTTTTTTCAAAACAGGTTTACGAGTGTCGTAAGACAGACCAGTTTCATGAACGACCTTACGAACTCAAAGCGTATATATTCGAGTTGCTTTACCTTGCCGTTATACGTCCCTTTATATTGTTTTCGTAACGAGCTCGCGGTGAAACTTGTACCATTAACCCAAGCCTCGCTAAGAAAGACCAATCCTCCTAAGATCCTGCGGTTCATGCGAGTCAAAAAGAAAGGACACTTTTGCTATACCTTAGCGTTTGTCGGATTTAGCTACTGTATATATCTATCTGTCTATCTAATACGTGATTTGAATTTATTTTATTTTATTTTCTTTCCTAGGATGATCTTGTTCGGTTGATCTCTCAGTGTACTTAACATTATATTCTCCCCCTCCCTGCCCCCCTCTCTCTCTCTCTCGCTTTAACTAGACAACTCTGTACTAGGATCCTAGATTTCGCGTAGGAGAAATTTGTTGCAACGAAGCCATCTTGGACTTGGATCGCTTATAATTATCGTCAATGAGAGACTCCCACCGTATGAGGACGATTCATACAACGTGTACGCGAGGACGCTTCGTAAACGATGGAAATGACTCGGCTAGTTGGCCGTTTCCTCATTTGTCGGGACACCCACGAGTCGATTTAAGAGATTTTGCGGAATCCAGTGGCTATCGTGTCGAGGCACGAGCTAGCTAGTGCATGTAATGCCACCCAAACGGTGGAGAAGAAAAGGGAAGAGAGGATCCGTACCAAATGGCTCTCATCCGCCCACCCACGCTATTAATCTATCCTACTTTTCGCTTCTTCTTCTTCTTCTTCTTCTACTTCTCTTAGGCGCCACTTTGTTTAATACTTGCTAATTCGATTCTCAGCTGTTTAACCATGAGAGATCATTTTCTCAGCAAGTTGATCCAGTTGATACCAGAATCGTTTAACGCGTTCCTCTCATAGTCAATTGAAAATTCAAGGATTCCAAAGGTTTCGAATCTACTAAAATTTAACGATCGATCCCGCGATGTGCCCCGAGATATTGCAGATTGTGCAACGAATTTTCTTTCAACGAATAGGCGACTCGCTCGTTGGTCCAAGGTACGAGATGCCAATTGGCATCTCGTGCCTGACTCACGCACAAAGACATCGGGAACGTATCTGGAAATAAATATAAACCGAGCTGAAGGAACGCGAGGTACGCGCACCCAGGTGGCGATTTCTCGTTCCACAAGATCAGATAGAGCAATGATCAAAGGAAGAACATGAAGAAGGATATGAGAGAGAAAAGAAGAAGGTGGTGGAAGGAGGGTGGCGAGGAGGGTGGCGAAAAGGGTGGTGAGGGATGCACACCGTTAGGATCTTTCTATCTTCTTCTTCTTCTTCTTCTTTTTTTTCTTCTTCTTCTTCTTCCTCAATACTTTCGAGAGGTTTTATTTAGCGAGCGATTCTATCCAATCAGCGTTGATGTGTCATCGACGCGAAAATAGGCGCACTTAACACTGGCAGCTCTTTTCTGCCGATCTGCCGATGCCAGCCGTATTACGTTGTATGTTCCATGTACTTGAGATTTTCTATCTCTTTCTTCCTTATCATCTTTTATGCCTCCGAGAGTATACGTATATGCTATAGGTATATTGTGCTGTCACCTCATGTCTCTGCTATTTATAAAACATTTCGACGACTTTTATTAATAGGGCCACGACTTAACGCCTTCGTTAATTGTGACTTATGTACGCGAATCAAGCTACGAAGTTGACTTTGTTCAGATTTTCTATAACGCAACAACAGTCCCGTATATTACAATAATTTTCTAATGCTATATTTCAAACTTTTTTTCACACAAATTCTTTCTTAAAAGAACCTATTCTGTGAAATCCTACTGTTGGGGTATTAGTAACATGGAATTTATTTCTAAACGTTTCTTTCTATCTCCGAAAGCTATTAAAAGTTCATTGTCAATGATTCTCGAATGGCCACTGACACAGTGTAGTAACGACGAATTATAGTACGTTTAATGACCGTTTTCTCGTGTGGCTACCAACGACGAGAGCTATTTATAGGTGCCTCAATCGAGTTTATGCTTGATGCGAATTTAATTAATTGTGACTTATGCGAATCTATTAACGCATGCGCAACAGATTGAAGAAGTAAATTTACGATCGTCGTTACTCCTAACTTTCATTAACGTTAACGATTTTTCCCTATACTCGCGTCTAATCGAATCTCTATCGGAACAGTAAATCATTGTGCTTTTTCTTCTAGATTATGCACATCGTTTCTTGCAATGTCATCGATTAGAACGAGAACTTGTTTTTTTCTTTTTTATTCTACGAAAGTCGCGGAAGTGAAAGTGAGACCGATCAGTTGAAATAAAACGTTGAATGCATCCTTGCGGAAAGTACAAATTTTGAAGACTAAATAGAATCGTTCTTTTTTCTTTTTTAATGTGAAATTTACACAAACGAAAAATATATTATTTAAAAACTTAAAATATAATTTATATAGAACAATATATAATATAATCATATTATTATTATTATTGTCAAACCTTTGGTTTTATGAGGCTCTTCCTGCGAAGGTTCCTTATGCGCCTGAATCTTCCCAATAAGTAATTCCAATCTCGAACTATTGCCCTTGAACAACATCTTCAAGTATTTCAAATTCGTTTATTATCGCGATTCACAATTCCACATAGGTTTACCACCCGGTAAACTCTTCGAGAGGAAAAAGAAAAGGAAAAAATATGATCTCGTTCTCGAAGATCGAGAAGTCACTTTGAATATGAGCTTCCGAAGCACGTGGAAATTCGAAGTTTCCACATCGCGAGATCGTATTACACAAAGGAAACGCGTTACCGGACGCCTGCGTTTAT